TAACATTGGCTACATTGATGGTCCACCTGGCGTTTTCGCTACCGTACCAGCCACATGAGCGCGTCACTGTTCCCTCCATGAAGCCAAACCTGGCCAAAGCAAATGAAGACTTGGCGACGAGGTAACAGGAAGATGTTGAGAGCAGGAACAGGAGTTCACGCTCTCTACCGAGACATTGAACTGGGTTTGTCCATTTCTATGTGAAATTATGCCAGATTGACTTTTTCATCAGAGTGGGTTAGGCAATATAAAATGTTTTTGAAGCCGAAAATCATCTGTATTCATGACAAAGCATTGCAATGTTCGACGCATCACTGAGTTATAGTACTAATACATTTAGACATGAACAGCCTCGATAACAAATTTGTTCTGCCAATATTTTTTTCAATAAATTGCTATTATTTGAATTATGGAATTCGGGTTTGTGTTGATGGGTTTCTGACACAATACATTCGTACAAGTCTGACACCAGCCTCGAAATCAAAGGCTACGAAATAAATAAAAGTCAAATAGTTTGTTACTCTGACTTTACAGTGAATACATCACTACACTGTACTAAACGAACTACAAACTAGAATCCGTCAAAAATCGCACTTCAAAGTCTTATACTAATTCTACGGCATAGTCAAAACTCTTGTTACTATAATGTATATCTTCGCTACTCTTACATTGTGCTTTACAGTCAATTAAACAAAAAACAAAAACAAACAAAAAATCAAAATAAGGAAGAACCGAAGTGTTAACAGAACTATATTTTGAACTCAATATTGATAAAACTACGCCGAAATAGGAACAACGGGAAGATTTATAAGGATTTATATTATACGATTGAAAAAGTTCAATATGGAGACCAGGTGTTTCAGAAGGGTAAGCGTCTTTAACGTCATCGACGACACCCGCCTTGTATAATCTAAGTCAACTGCAGGTGATGTCAATACTTGTGCTTTCATAATCAACAATTGATGACACTGATACAAATGTATGATGATCTACAATATCTATGACAGCGAGATCGGTGGCCTTTCACAATGAAATTGTTGACATATTACAATGATATCGATGGCCTATGACTGGCATGAATGCCGTAACCTATGACAGTGATATCGTGCACATATGACAATGATATCGGACGGAAGCCTTTGCTATTGTTGACACGTGACCTACGGTAAACGTGATATGTGACTGCACTGACAACTTAGTTCTGACAGTATCTGAACCAATTAGTGTCAGCTAACAAAATCACGTGGTTATGGTTGAGAAGAGGTAACACCATTCCAGTTATCCCGACAGAACAATGTACATAGAAAGTGACGTCTTACAAGTAATTAATTGTAAATGGGGATCATTAAAGAATACGAATGAAGTGGCCGAGCCGAACGTCGATGATATTACAGAAGGTTTGCTTTGTTGTCATGTTTAAGGTGTCCAGCTGGTGGTCGATCCCGTCTAGAAAGGTGTGAAAACACGTGGGGAAAACAGTATGGCTGAACACAGAAAAACGTGTTATGCTTATGTTTTCAACCTATTTCCAATGGAAAAACATTTTAATATTTCCTACAATCTACTCGGAGCGTTCTTTAAATGATCGCTCCTCTATGGGGAGAACTGTTTAATTTTGCTCTATAGTTTATGCGGAGCGCTGTTTAAATGATTGCTCCTCTATGGGGAGAACTGTTTAATTTTGTTCTATAGTTTATGCGGAGCGCTGTTTAAATGATCGCTCCTCTATGGGGAGAACTGTTTAATTTTGTTCTATAGTTTATGCGGAGCGCTGTTTAAATGATTGCTCCTCTATGGGGAGAACTGTTTAATTTTGCTCTATAGTTTATGCCAGACTGCTGTTTAAATGATCGCTCCGCTATGAGGAGGGCTGTTTAAATATGTCATAGTTTATGGAGTGAGTTTAATTACTTCATAGAAAATAAGCTCTCTGTGCTGGTTATGGAATACATTGTTTAATGTAATGTTATATATAAATAAAGGAATTTATCGAAACATATATATCTTTGAGTATGGTAGCCTCCCTCATTTTAGCTTAATACCAGGTTGACGAGAGAGAAAGAGAATAGAATTATTGATGTAAAAATAATTTGATTTCACCCAAAGAAATAAACTGGCGCTTCTATTAATTTAAAACACGAGATTGTTTTAATGACACAGACTGTACGAATGTGATATCACCATGTATTTTGTTAACGCCTTATTGAGCTGAAAGTAAAATAAAAATAGGACGAATTCCACAACATGCATTTCCTTTATCGGTTATGAATCAAAACGATTTTCTAGATTCCTACAATTTTGCTGTCATTGTAACAGATCAGCTAGTGCAGTGATGTATCACAGAGTTCTGAACACACACTGGCAGTGTCCGGCTGTCATATCGAATCAGATTAATCTGTCGACATTGATAGCAAGGCTAGACCAACAGGTGCTCGACCTGTTCGACAAGTCATGTTAACCTTTATCCGTAAGAACCAATAAGATTTTGGCTGAAAATTAACTTGGTCATCTTTTAGGAATAAATGCATGTTGTTTACCAAGTTTGATTTCTAAAGACAACTAATAAATCGAATCCAATATTTGTAACGACTACATGTGGGTTTTTTTTAAAGAAAAACGATAATCCTGTAGTATGAAAATTCAAGCAGTCACAGCTTCTTATTTTAATTTCATGTTTATGAAAGGATACTTTATTGTTTCAGATTTTGTTCTTTTTAATGCAAGTGCAAAATATTTAGAGTAATATGAAAATATTAATTACAAGTAAACTTATACAAAAATGTTTGTATTGGTGATTGTTCTGGTGGAAAAATGCCTCCTCTATGTTGACGTCGCACTCGTCTGAATGCTATACGAGTTCAAACTACAATTTTATGTCCAGGTTGATGGTACCTGCCTTTCTGCAGCATACGACCTTGGCAGACTGCCAATGTGTGTTAGTTCATTTGTGATCTGCACCTCCAAACAAAGAAATCCCAATAAATTATCCAAAAAACGTAGTCATTAATTCCGGAAACTGCAATTTAATCCAATTGAAATTAAACTTGAGCAACGATATTTCAATTAGTGAAATCATGCGGACGGTAGGATATTGGCTATAAATTGGCGGGAAACTGGTAAAGGACATGTGCACGACATAAATACCAATTAATTTTGACAATTAGTTGAAAAAAAATGTATTCAATTTAAAAATGAATACTGGGATAATGTGTTGTTTTAATTTGATTGCGAACTGTTGGTGATATTGGTACGTAGAGGCGTGCATGTGTTTCCTCAAAATACGACAGCTACCTACACGTAACTATTAGCTTGATTGACAATATCTGATAGTTAATGGGTTGTAATCCAAAATGAATTCGATCTTGGTAAATTAAGATATGTTAAGTTCCTCAGAAATGTACTCCAGAAATGTACCTCTAGGAATAGAGGAAAAGCGATTTATCTCGTGTTCGGAAAAGTAATGTCATTGCAATAGCAAGGTTGGGGGTAACTGTAGAAGTAATAACACGGAAGTGTGGTATAGTGTAACTGTAGGAGTAATAACACGGAAGTTTGGAATTGTGTAACTGTAGGAGTAATAACACGGAAGTTTGGTATAGTGTAACTGTAGGAGTGTTTTCAGGGAAGTATGGTATAGTGTTACTGTAGGAGTGTTTTCACGAAAGTGTGGTAAACAGTATAACTTTTTGAGCAAAATTAAGGAAGGGCGGTTACTATGGGGACTCACTGTGTCGTTTAAACTTCAGTAAACATATCACGTATGATCAAACGCAAGCATCTCGTTGCGTAAACTCTTATTATCATTTTTAATTATTATCGTATAATTAAATTCCATCTATTCCCCCCAATGCTAGACTTATTTCAGATTATATTGTATAACCTCATAAAAAAGACAACGCAAAATGGTTGGCGCGGTATTTGAAATTCTAACTGGTGGAAGTTTCTTTGGAAAGAACTTAATGCGCAATGTTGTGTTTTGTGCAAAATGAGTTTGCTTTTATCATAAATAAATGAATATTCATATGTTATATTAAAAAAAAAGTGTTGTGTATCTTTTTCAATCAAATTTCAGGGTTAACCAATATTATGTTCGGGGTCATACGGTATATACCGAAAAAACTGTGAGCACCTTTGTGCATAAACCATGACAAACCGCTTCGCAAAGTCATGCTAATTGCACACAGATTAGCGGTTTATGCACAAACTGCACACTGTTTAGCGGTTTATGCATAAAATGCACACATTTGATTTCTATATATATACCGTATATCCCAAAAAACAAGTCTGTTAATTTCTTAAATATTCAGAACAAATATGGACTGCACTCACTCGAGTGCTTCATAATGCATCGCCTAGGTGCTCGTAACTCCGGTATAACCTTCCATTGATAAATAGATTGATGTTGACACAGGTGTACCAACGGAAGAGCCTACGTTGTTGTACGATCGGGGGCGTATGTATGAAATCGTTCCCATGCTCAAACACAGATTCTGTGCTCAAGCCCAATTGCTTGACGATAAATTACTGAAAAAATAAGATTTTGTCCATAATTATGGCGGAATGATTTTTGAGAGACTTAAAGCCAGATACCATGATCACTGTGAACGTCTGACTTGAATCGTTAGACTGTATCACGTGATTTGAGCAAGTTACAAGAAACCCGATTTTAATATAAAGCTCGTGCTTGAGCACGAGAAGGGTTTCATGAATACGGGTCCTGCTTATAGCCATTAAAAGACGCACTTATTTTTATCTCTCTTTTGTATCTGTATCATTATAAAACGTTACGGTCAATAATTAGATGTAATATAAGTTATTTCCACAAATAACAGTCTGCATGTTACAATATGTAGTACTAGTAAACCCGTTCCAGGAAATATGTACGAAATGGCACCTTTAATACAAAGTACAAGCTCTGCTGTACACTTGTTTCGTATTTGCTAATATGAATACATCATGTTTAAGGCTATACATGTGAGACATTTCTTGCTCTATTGCAGTGTCTGCGCGAGAGCGCTACAACTATAACTCGCGCTACCCAGTCCCTAATTTCATGACGTCAGAAACCAACGTAACGTTCATGGCGGGAGATAAGGCCGTGCTGGAATGTGCGGTGGAAAACCTGGGAACACGGACGGTAAGTTAGAATCAATTTACAATTACCTATCCCACATACTTTAGTCAAGCATCACGATCTAATAACAATAGTGGTTTGTATTATTCATTGCTTTCTACAACACTTGTAGCCGTGTCAGTTTGTAGCACGTACTGTACCTACATGTCGACAGTTACGTTTGTAACAACAAATTCAACGACAAAGACGGTTTCTTGTAGGCGCTGGTAGCATATTACATACGTAGTGTATATATCGGCTAATGGACAGAAACAAGAATGCCAAGACTACATGAACGTTGTGTAGATTAGTCTCTCGGCCTTTCCTTTTCACTTTGACGCAAACCACTGTGGCTTCATCACAAGGAAATTGATTGCCATATAAAATGTTTTTTAAAAGATATAACAATATGTATGGTTGTCTTAATGTATAAGTACACCTATGCAATTCCATCACTGACAGATTTTACGACCGCACCATGCCTGGCCGTGATTGCAGAGGCCATTTTACAGACTTCAACTACTGCAATCCATGTTTTAGAGGACATTAGCTGCTCGGTCGTAATTAATTATTCACATCCAATATATCAGAACATAACGACAGTGATGTCACCACAGGGAGCAAGTACAGCTCGACAAGTCATTTCAGTCTCCCTGCACCAATCACCACCTGCATGTTTGTTACCAATAAGCCAATCAGCAAGGATCTTACAATTAAGGCTGGGCCGGAAGTGCTACACTCGGGAGTTTGAAAAGCTGTTTCTGTTTTTATGATGGCCGATATCATTGGCGTTAAGGGCACGTCTGTGCCGGTGTGAATTCTTCTATTGGCGTCCTATTATTCCGGCGATCAGATTGAAATTTCAGAAAATGATGACATTTGCATTCTCAAAGAATCCTAACTTTAAAAAAATTATTTGTTAATTCTCCAATCGACAACAGTTAGCATTAATTAGAACAATGTATAGTGTAATTTCTTCAATGCCGCAAGGGTAATTCGTATTAATGAAATTAAACTTGCTCCAATTCAATCTAATATTTCTTTTTTATCAACTTCGTTGCCTATCAATCAGTTTGTGCATACTGCGGAGCTGATACAGACCCAAAATACCATGTAAGATAGGGAATAGGCGCTGGATACACAGAATGTTTAGAATATGTATACGTCATTACTGAGTCTGGCAGAGTCGACAATTGTCCTGTAAATCAGCCATTTCTTAATGACTTCAATCACAAATACAAAACCTATTATCTCAAATAACTTGTTAATAAAAGAATAGGAACAATAGAAATGGTGTTTTCAGTGTATATTAGTTTGATTTTTAAGACATTTGTCATAATTTCTATTCAAAGAATATTTTATTAATGATGATTGGTTGCGTTTTTACTTCACAAATCTTCCAATGTGCGACACCAATTTCAGAAAACTGAGTTTTATTTCTAATTGAAAGATATACAGAAACACACTTTGTAAGATACATGAACCTGTATCCTTAATAGAGAAACTAAAGATCTAAAGTAATATAAATAAGGTCGATAACGTTGAAAATTACTCAATTTTCATTAAATAGATCTAAATAATATCTCGTTATTTTAATCAAGCTATCTATGAGTTAGCTAGCAACAGTAAAGTAAATACAATGTGGCCTAATTAAAACTCCATGTACTAGAGGGTGGATTTCCTGTTGATTGTTCAATGTTTAAATCAAGAGAGCAATTTCATAAAACTTCTGTTCGTGCGAAGGGGAAGGGCTGTAAAGACACGATTTCTCACCCTGACACGATTTCTCACCCGGGTGAGAGATCTTGTTAGTAGTAGGCCTATTACCCGTATCATGATTTTTGTCGATTGTGGTATATTTAGGACTTTTCTTTTTATAAATTTTGTAAAATTAGTGCAGGAACTAATGATATTCGATATTAAGTTTTCCGAACAGACCCAAATCATGGCCTTTCATTTGCTGAGACAAATCTAGGCTATTCTAATCTCTGTTCTGTTTTATGAACTGCAATATTGGTTGATAAAATGAATATTTTGAATGTGTTATTGAAGATGGCAAAAACAAAGTCAACATCTACCGCAAAATGGCTGTTGCAGCCTAGCTTTTGAAAAGTCTAAATTATGTAGTGTCCTGTATCCCTGAAATTCTGTATTACACCTTCCTTAAGATGTCAGATGGGCAATGTCACTGCAAACACTACAGTGGTTTTCGTTGATTTAATTTATTTTACAATATGTCCGTGTTAGATCGGGTCCTCGTTGGTTGACATTTAGATCGACTGATTTTGTTCAGATTCGTTATGCAGATGTGTTATGGCATTGTGATCATTTGAAGCATCATTTGCGACTACAGGTTTAGTTTGGGCGCTTTACGTAATGGTCCTTGTTACAACTAGATATTGTTATAATTTATGGGGGGAAAATGATATGTATGTACCCTTCCAGAGCAACTGATTTTTTTAATTTTGCTTTAGTAAGCTCATGTTGTGTAAAAAGTTCGTGTTCTTTGGTCCTTATTTTATCTTGGTGATGGAATCTTGCCATTATTGTTGACTACGGCTTGTGTTAGACATGACTTACATATTATCTTTATATACGGTATATCGCGCGCAAATTGTGGTGAAAAAATGTTTCTATGTTTCGAATATCTCCACTGGAATTCAAACAAAATCAGTTCTTCTGATTAGAAAATGAATAAATAATAAATAAAAAAAACAGGTATTGCTATTTAAGAAGTGCTATTTCTCTCACAGGTTAGGTGAACTGGATTGCGTTTTGTTGTGTTTAAGAAGGTGCGCACACATACCTTGTATATGCGCGCACGTGTGTGTGTGTGTGTGTGCCTGTATGCTGCACGCTATGCGTTTCAGGTGTGTAGATACTTACCACGTAATCGAGCAACAATGTTGTTTTCATAATCTCATTTAATATGTAATGATATCTTAAGATTTCTGCGTATTTCAAAAGTGAATGAATGAAGAATTGATAGATAAATCAATCAATCATTATTAGGTATGCTGTACATTGAACATCTCGTCATCTTATGTACACTTAGGCAAGATTAAAGAAACTCGTTCTGTTCCACCAGTGAGAGATGACGTCGGAAAAAACAAGGGGTTTAAACAAGTTGCATATGTAAACTGTCGAATGAATGAAAGAAAGTCTTTAAAAAAGACTTTAAATAACATTTGACTTTGTGTTTTTATCAATTCGATTTTTACAATCTAAATAATAGCTTATACTCCCCATTCCACGTTGATAAGTAGATTTTCTAGGCTTATTTCGGATTCGTAGTAATATACATACTACATATGGACATTCTCGGAGTTAAGCGTGTAGCCGTCGTCTGGTTACACATCTATTTATAGAATCACATTTTGTTATACTTTAATTGAGTTAATTGGTTGTTGGTTCTGAGAACAATAATTTGAGTGTGCCATAACAAATCACTCTTAATTATTATTATTTTTATTTGATTAATTTTCTTTCTCTGGCAAATTGAAAATATGCCTATTTCTAACAAAGTAGTGCAGTTAAAATTCTTCATAGAAAAAAAAAGTTAAAAGTGTCTCCTACCAATGCCCATGTCACAACAAGACTTCGCTAAGGCGAAAACTGTGTGCAATAGTTCTGCATTAAATTGATGTACACCAAGATACTTCGTATGAAACCCAGATACTTCGTATGACGTATGACACCCAGATACTTCGTATGACGTTAGTGCTATATGTACAAGAGATAAAGTGTAAATTCTTCGCGCTTTTTTACCTCACTGAATGCGTGTATAATCAGTAAGGAGTTATCGCTTCACTATTGGTGCTATTGTAATTCCTAAAACAAACAATTCTTCTTAATTAACTGATGTATGGATTAAAGTTTTTTAACAGAGAAAAGGTTATTTTAAAATGTAGAGAAACAGTTTTGCTATTGTTGTACAATGTAAAAAAAAAAAAAAAAAAAAAAAAAAAAAAAAAAAAAAAANAAGCACCCCGGATGAAAAAACATCAGACAATACTCCAATTGAGATATAGAGCTTGGGTGAGAAATCGTGCAGGGGTGAGAAATCGTGTCGCGAACGCAGCAATTTTGCACGATATCTCACCCGGGTGAGAAATCGTGTCGGGGTGAGAAATCGCGTCGCGAACGCAGCAACTTTGCACGATATCTCACCCGGGTGAGAAATCGTGTCGGGGTGAGAAATCGTGCCGTTACAAGGGCTCGAGAAGCATTCATTAAAACAAGTTTGTTTGTTTTTTTCATTCAGGCCTACGTGTAATCCCAAGTTTTTTCCGGTTATTAGATAAAGGAACCTCCGATAAAAATGGTGATTGAATGTTTGTTCTAGACATTTCTTGAGATTTAGAACAAAAATGCAGTTTTCACAGATCGTTGAGTGCGGTTATTTAAGTATTAAAAGGTTCGGGTTTGATTTGATAATCTTACCCCGGGGTTGTGATTTGCTCATCTCGGCGTGGTTGAAGGATTTGTTTTATCTTACCCAAACAGAGAGAAATGGTTATTTTGATTTGTCACATTCAAAAAGGTACTGTTTGATAAAGAAATAATAATCAACGCAAGGAACCCGACGATACAATGTGATATGACGCCTTTTGATTGATGTCTTTCAATTGTTTTCATTGTGACAGCACACTCAATACTGAGGTGTCTCGCCCTCAGAAAATGTCACGCTTGGAAAATGATGTACACGTCTGTCCATGATATAATACCGCGACAACAGATGTTGTAGCTGTCTTAAACAGTTTTCATGTATCATTTATGAAAGCATTGTACGCGTATGACCGTATCCGTTTTGGGTTAATTTATTATATAAAATACGCAAAATTTAATATAAAAAATGTACCATGGATCTATGCCTATACTTACACTTTATTCTTCATTCCTTTCATATAACAGCGTATCTGATTGGATTATACTGATCACATGACGGGGAAATGCAACATTGGTTTTTTCCTCGAGCGCTCGAGTTTCCCCAGTCATATTTCCTTATTTGAGTCATGTAACAGTCCTGAGTGACTGTCAAACGAGGCAATAACAAAGGCGTATTAGCCTGCTTAACGCACTTGTTTTGTTATTGTTTTCGTTTCCCTGGGATTTTCCAAGTTCCACGAGGGTGAGAAGGAATTAGGTCGGGAAGTGTGATTCCCCAGTCATGTGACCAATATAATCCAATCAGATACTCTAATAGATACGTAGATGAGGTATACAATTATTGCATTATTTCAAGAAGCGTGTCCATGTCTTCATACTAACACACATATGACTAGCTCTGTTAAAGAACAGACAATGTATATCACAGATTGTATCCGGTGACGTAAGGAACTTGATGTAGACATGTTACAGCATTTTTAAAAGAAATGATACTTTTATCTGCTTGCGATCGAACTGTACTTAAATCAATTCAAAAACACTTGCATCCTACTGTTCAAATCAACATGGATCCGACCAGCTCGGTGTGCGGTATGGTAAAACTTCCAACTGGGAAAAAGCATTTCTAAATGTATCGTAATCTACGATTCCTTAGATCAAATTGAGAAATTGCTGAAGTTTTAGAACAAGAAAAATAGTGCTGGTAACACGTTGAGAACGATCTACTTTCGTGAACTTCCCAGATATACAGGCGATATGTAGGCATCTACTAAAATGTCTATTTTAAATACTTCTTATCGCCCTCATCCGTGTCCTGGTTTCTTTTTACGTGAGAAATTTAACAGCGTTTGAGTGTTGAATCAAATGCTGCCGCAATCTTGTCTCTTATCTCTTGCTGTATATATAAGATTTATTGTGGTGAGAACAGAGAATCAGACCTGACCCCCATACACATTCAAGTAAAATCCTCATCAAGATATCGTTTTCGCATAGATTGCTTCCCGGTAAAAAGTTGCATCATCTTCTAGCAAACAATCTTATCTACTTCTACTTCAAAGAAACGATGATGCGATTTCACCTTTCAATTATAAACCTGCATATTTTATGAAATTTCCTCGTGGAATATGTGATTTTAAGTAGTCTCAATCAGTAATAGGTAATTGGTCGTACTTTGTTGAACTAGGTTATAACGAGACCATATTGCTCATGCAAGAAACAGCGCATTAACATCTATTGTAGGGAATAATGTTGTGCAAAGTGAACCGAGACAGATGTTTATTAAGTATCTGTACGATACATAGTGTACTAACAGTATTATTTGTTATACCTCATCTATATAACAGCGTATTTGATTGGATTATACTGATCACATGACAGGAAAATAAGATATTTTCTATCTCCTGAATTCGGCGTCTGTCTCGAAAAATGAGCAATATGTTACACACCTTCGTGTCAACCTGATTACTTAAGATTGTCACACTGTTTCTTCTGGGTTTGTCGTCAGAACATTTTTTTCATCGCTTGCACGTAGATAGCATCTCGAGTCCACCAGGTGGTTTAAAAAAAACTCGCTTAAACACCATGTTTTCCAAATGACTTCTAAGCTCAATGGCGATCGCCTGTGACAAACGTAAACAAATAGCCTTTAAACTACGTAGAATAAATATTTCTAAAACAATCCTATCGTCATTGACTTTTCCGTATGCATATTTACACATGAAATGCTGTTGTTATCCTTTCAATATTTTTCCGTAACTTTGTATTGAAATGTTTATGACGGACTTTTTTTTCTTACGCGGATCACCTTTTGGTGGACACTTTTTTTCCAGTTTCGGACGTCATCTGGCGCGAGCAGACGTTCTTTTCTGATAAAATACGTTCCCAAGTGATAGAGAAAGGGAAAATCCGTTCTCAAGTTCTTCTCAAGTTGTTCTCAACTTTTTCTCATACTGACAACCTATGATAATGAATCTATCATGCTACCGGTAGGTGGTATAAAGTAGAATATAAATGATAATATTCATTGTTGTTTTAATATTTATCTTGGTATAATAATCTATTTGCTGTCCTACTGGTAGGGAAACACGATTCTTTGTTTCCCCGCGAAAAACAATTAGTCTCGAGGAAACAAAGAATACTCGGGCTTCGCCTTCGTGTAATATGATTTATCTCGGGGGAACAAATTATCGTGTTTCTTTGCCACATGTAATACTGTGCCCCGTGTAGTCGACAATAACAGATTTTCAGATGTGTCATACGCCACTATTTTTCAGACGACATGATGACAAATATCAAAATTGCCTGGAATAGACATCAGCGTATTTACAAATGTACGTGTCAATAGAAAATATGCCCACTCCTATCACAATTTCTCCCCGGATGAGAAATTTTAAAGGGTTGGGTAGTCGTAAAAAGTAAGTTAGATGGTGTTGCAATTTAAGTATGATTTGTCATCTGGGTGTGAAATCGTTTATGCGAGATACATATACAAGACCACACACTTTTGTTCTTCTAACGAATCAGAAAGCACGAGTTAGAGTTAGAGGACGAACATATTCACGAGTGCGCGGAGCGCACGAGTGAATATATACGATCGCGCAATAAACTCGTGCTTTCTGATTCGTTAGAAAAACACAAGTGTGTGGTCTTGCTTTTATCACATACCTTCCGTATCTGGTAGAGATCGATTCAAAGACTTATGAACTTTGATATTTTTTGCGAATACCGGGAACTTTTCAGTTCGCCATGACAAGGGGTTCCCATAAAAAGTAGTTCCGGCTAGTAGGTAAATACAACAGTCCGTATTGTACATGTGCAATACAGAACGTTGTATTTCATGGTCTGAAAATTGTTTATATTACTATAACAAGATTGAACAGGTATGTGATAAAATACTTGTTTGTTTCGATAGCATGTCATTGGTCCCCAGTCAAATAATATTTTCATAAACAACGGAAGGAGCCAAGCGGGTATTCTTGTTGGGAATCTTGATTTCGGTGGCAGTTTTTAATCATTGTAACATGCAGATGACAACACGTGTGCAACGATGCGTCGTAAAGACTACGTCACTTTCTCAATTTGTCACGATTTCTTCAAACCTATTTTTCAATTATTACATAAATGACAAACGTACATTTTGTTGTTGTGAAGTTGAGCGATTGTAATACATTTGTACTTTTCGGTAGTATTGTCTGACCGAGATTATTTTAGATAGGGATTACAGATATTCCCATCACTACAAGTGTACTTTTGTATCTACATCTTATTTTATTCACATATATTTCCGAGTCATTTTTGTTGGTATATTTTTTTCGTCGCAAAGGCGTTAAATATCAAAATCGTTAAATACAGGTTACTTCTATGACCTCTGGACGCCTCTATTTTTCGAAACACCTCATATTTACCAATTGTATCATATAATCTAGAGAGCAACAGAGTAACATCAACTTACCCATATATTAACGTTTCTCTCCATTGTCTAACTGTCCCTGTCCTTATATTAGTGTCAACAGTAATATTGTATCGCAATTAATGTACATCGTGTATGGCAAATTTCAAGTTTAAGATGACACAGAAATCAGTTATATCATCCTCACGAAGTTAGAGCTCGTTACCCTCCGGTACATGTTTAAAACGACTATATTAGAACATCGCTGCGCGAGTCCAAATTATCGGTTTAATTGAAAAAAATAAAAACAGCGTCTTTAATAACAGCGCGAATTGAATATAATTAAATAAATATGGTATCAATAATAAAATATGGTGCATTATATCTGTAAACGAAAATAGTTTACAAAGGAAAGACGTTACTGTTCCCAAACTACCGCGTTCTGACAGTAGTGTCACTGCATATCGCGTTCTGACCACTTACTACAGCCGTCGAGCTCAACTTCAGTGTCTTACATTGTAAATCAGAGAACATTCTTTGTTACAGGTAGTATGGCGGAAACTACCCTCCACGACGCCCCTCACGATTGGTCGCTTCCTGTACATCAGTAACGATGCCATTGCCGTGGAACACATATCCGATTCCTATTACTGGAACCTGCACATCCACCCTGTGACAGTGGACGACGAGGGCGAGTACGAGTGTCAGGTTGCCTCTTCGGACAAAACCATCCGCCAGCGAGTCAACCTCACCGTATTAGGTACGTAACATCCGCCAATAAGTCAACCTTTTGCCGGTTTAGGTGCTTTAAAGTCACCGACGGATCAACCTCATGAAACGATATATTTGTTATGTTTCCTTCACCAGTGTGACATCATCATCGTCATCAGGTTAGGCATCATCAGCCGGTGGGTCAACCTCATCGTCATGGTAACCTAACATCAGCTATAAAGTTGGCCAACTTCATCGTTATGGTAACATTACATCAACTATATAGTGGGCCAACTCGATTGTTATGCCCCGGTCACACATCCACGGTCGGACGCCGGAATAGCCACGGATACGATCCGGCATAATTAGTGGCAATCCGTAGTGGTCTGCAGCTGTCCGTATTGTATCCTTGGTCAATCGTTGTAGTACTTGTATATCCTGGAAACTTTTGAGAATATCCAGACAACCATAGAACATCCTTACTTATCGGTAGTAGAACGTTCTAATCCGTTGTAGTCCGTATTAAACCGTAATTTTCCGAACTTATTCATAGTTCATTTCCGGCCTCAAGTCGCCGAGGATCGGTACGGTTAGTTGCGGTGAACTACGTTCTTGTACTACCCCGAACGAGCTTACCGTGACAGGTCCGTGGCGCTCCGTGCGATTTTGTACTAATCTGTGCCAGACCGTTCTAGTTCATGCTACCCGAACAAAAATCGTAGCGAACCGTTGTTAATCCGCAGTGCATACGCCGTGATACGTGTCATTCCGTACTAAACCGTACCGAACCGTAGCAATCAGTATCACTCCCCGTTGTCAACTAGCCCCTATCCGTAGTAAAACCGTGGTGCATCCGTAGCGGACCACGGATTTAGACTATTCCGGGGTCATCTATGAGTTTCCATCCGTAGTGGATCCCGCAAAACGATCCATAAATGTGTGACCGGGGCATTATGGTAACCTAAAATCTCCTAGTGGACCAACTTCATCGTCATGGTAACCTAACATCCCCTAGTGGGCCATCTTCGTCGTCATGGTGACCTTACATCAGTTTTATAGTTGGCCAACTTCATCGTCATGGTAACCTAACATCCGCTAGTGGGCCAACTTCATCGTCATGGTAACATTACATACGATATAAAGCGGGCCAACTTCATCGTCATGGTAACATTACATACGATATAAAGCGGGCCATCTTCGTCGTCATGGTGACCTTACATCAGTTATATAGTTGGCCAACTTCATCGTCATGGTAACCTTACATCCGCTAGTGGGCCAACTTCATCGTCATGGTAACCTTACATAAGATATAAAGCGGGCCAACTTCATCGTCATGGTAACATTACATCAGCTACAATGTATATATAGCGGGCAAACTTCATTGTCATGGTAACCTAACATCCATTTATGGGCCAACTTCAGCGTCATGGTAACATTACATCAGCTACAATGTATATATAGTGGGCAAACTTCATTGTCATGGTAACCTAACATCCATCAATGGGCCAACTTCATCGTCATCAAAATGTTAAATGTTTTGATGGGTTTTTTAATGTCGACTCGTATGTATATGTATTATCATTTTCTATCTTTATGTTTTTTCCTGGTCTTGCACAGTGGTTCGGTCATTAGCGCATGCAGAACAGGTGTAGATAAATAACTTGAGTTCAAACTTATTTTGCAGCTCGATGGGGGTCGAAACCATGTAAGTGTAAACACTGATTAGGAAACACACCTTAGTGTCACTTTGGTACATCCACCTGTTGGCTCTTCCTTCCTCCTACATACGCATTCCTCAGAACGTTGATTTGTATTTTGCTTTCACAAAATATATCTGAAATGTTTTTTTAACTCAGAAAATGTCTCATGTTTTGTACAATTATCCAATTAAATAGTGTCTTCCCGCGTGTTCGGGTATGTTTCCTGCATTCTCAGTAAAAAATTTATCACGTTTTTTGCCAATAAGGTATTGAATTTTAATAAAATGTGTATATCACTCATATCTTTTACACTGTGACATTTATATCAAAAGTGATTTTTGTCACAGTGTGAATATATCACTTTATTGCATTTACCAATCAAAACAGTTCTTTAAACTCACTGCCTTCACAAATTATTTAGACGTCTTTGCTACAGATGCTTGGATATTTATTTATCTCCACAAATGATCAAACTTTGCAAGCAAACCAGTTATTAGTAGAAAAAGGTAGGATTGTACTGAGTAGATCGTTCAAACTGGTGCACAGTCTCGTTGTCAAGTGTGACGTCATCAGAATATGGCGCCATAGATGAGGCTATAAAATATCAAACTACTTTGATGCACTAACGATGTTGTTGTTGTAAATGGTTTTTAATGTTAAACTTAACGGTATCCCCGTTGAATAAGAAATATCTGATATAAGATGCGTCACTCGGAAATATCGATATTCTGCGATACTCGTGAAATATGTGGTATTCAATAGGAAACAGCTCAATGACCTCTAGTAAGACCAGTTCTGTCCTCTGCACATAACAGTATTAAATAAAACATTGTCCGCGTTCTCAATAACATAACACAAAGAACTATTACACGTGAATATTTTCCAATCGAAACAGTATATGCTATTTTCATCAGACTGTCAGAGTAATCTGGGACGAATTGTGACGGAAATTCCCGAATGGTTTCGGTTGGCGTTTGTCAACAGACGGAAATAGTCACTATCGAGTTCCTGCAAAATGGCTGTTCCACCATTTTATAAAAACCAGTTTGAAATGTATCGGAAATCAATAGAAATTACACGGAAAGATACAATAGCATCATGCCATTCCGTTTGGACGAGGCAATGCTGTATACAATGATCATGTATTTAAAAAAGATGCATTTCAATCCTTAAACAAAGCTAGTATGTATTTTTTAAATTAAGGAATATTTTCTAATACAAAGAATTACACATTTCTTCTGTAAAGTATTTACTAGTTACAGGATATGGTACTATGAATATAGTTGACAATCAATTCATTTGTATATATGCTTGTATATTTCCTGTGATGCATGTATAGAACGGCTGGTTATATCATACATGTATGTACAGAATCACCGGGTCGATATTCTTATGGTTAAGTAGTTCTTAATGGTACATTTCTACATCATATCAACCATGTCCTGATCTTGGTTCCAATATTATCCTTTGTCATAGATTTAAACATCATTTTATTTGTGATATCACTACCGCCAACTTTCCAATAACCGGCATATTTTTCATGCTAATGGCGTTTTCTAGTATTTCTTTAGGCACCCTAATGTGTGTGTTTCAATGTATAGATATATGTTTTTTGAGATCTTCAGTGATGGTTTAAGCAATTAAGACTGGTTTCCAATCCTATTTCTGTCTTTTAAAACAATAAGTATGTGTATATATCAAGAAATTGCTTTATATCATGTTCACTTAAATTTAGGTCACTCACATTGGAAATGTAAAATAGAATAGCAGTCAATGTTTCGGAAATGAAACGTCAATTTATGTGGCCTAATCATACATGTAACCCTCCTTTTACGTTTATAATTACGCATTGAACATCTAACGGAAAATCTATAAATAACGGAACTTTTCTGTTGAGTAGTACCCTGCTACAAGGTAAGTCGACAGGGCGAGAGCTCCTCAAACCATTCAAAGTGTTAAACTAAGCGATTCCACGCTGTTGTAATAACAGCTAATTCCAGTGTCGACGAATGAAAAAATGTGTCAAAAGGTGGGTTTGCTCAATACATTCCATGAAAAGCATGGCCTCTAGCTGAGCAGGTTAGGGCACGTGATCTGTAACAACTGTCTTCGGTGGTAGGAGATCTATAAAAAGGCTTATAGTAACAATGTATTTTGAGATATTATTCCATTTTACAAATTTTCTTAAATGTATGTAGTTAAGTCATCATGATAGTTTTTTTTACGAATTCGAATCATGCATAAAAATCGCAAATATATAACTATTTTTTACAAATAAATGAAACAGTGTCCATGTGATCGATACAATGAGTTCATCGGGCAATTGCCTAATAAACCCATCAATGGGCGAAAGCGCCAGTAACCTGTTTTTCTAGTTTTATCTATTTTAACCATTTTCATATATACTAGCGGAGAATTGTTATAGAACAAGTATTACCAACTGTATATACATGTACATGAAAATTCACACACATGACCGAGTATGACACATACACAAATCCGTGTGTCATTGAAAGTTTTTCCCGTGCAGTTTGCTCTCTATATAGGCGTTGACCAGTTTGCACGTTTTTCTCGTCCAAGAGATCCAATTCGACAGTGAAAGTTTATTTTTCAACTGTTGGGTCATTCTGTTGAGACCAGTGAACAGTAAAAACAGCATCATAACGTTTTAATTTGTGATTAATGCTATGCCGAGGCTCAACGAAAAAGACCGCCTCCGGATTATTGGTATGCTTGAAACTGGTATGGGCCAAGCCGTTGTCTCTTCACGTTTTCATGTCCATCGAAACACAATCTTGGATTTGAAGAGACGACATCAACAGTTTGGCCACGTCGGCGATCGACCTCGTGCGGGACGTCCACGTGTGATGTCACGTCAACAGGACAACCATATTCGGCTTGTCCATTTGAGAAATCGCTGTACGGAACCGATTGCGTGAACGAGCTATCCCTTCGTGACGTCCTGCAATCCGCCCAGTTCTTCTGCCACGTCATCGTGTAGCACGTCTGGACTGGTGCAGAAGGCATCTGCGATTTACTCGACAGGATTGCGCAGGCATTTTGTTAACGGACGAGTCGCGAGTCCACCTGAATAGTAGTGACGGCCGTTCCAGAGTGTATCGTCGCATTGGAGAACGTTTCCGTGACGCGTGTGTGGTACAACGACGTTCTTTCGGCGGAGGCAGCGTTATGATTTGGGGCGGCATCACAGCCAACGGCAGAACGCCTCTGGTGGTTGTTGACGGGAATTTGTACGCGCTACGTTACCGTGACGAGATCCTCCGGACCCACGTCGTTCCATTCGTGCAAGAGCAGCAACGTTACATTACGCTACAGCAGAACAACGCCCGGCCACACACAGCTCGTGTCGCTATGGACTTTCTGGCCGAGAAGAACGTTGACGTATTGCCCTGCCATGCGGTATCCCCCGATCTGTCGCCCATTGAACACGTCTGGGATGAAATGAAGGGCACATAACGTGTATTACCTAATCAACCGGCGACGTTGGTTGATTTAACTGCCGCGTTGGTACAGATCTGGAATGCCATCCCACAAACATTCTTGAACCGTCTAATAGGCTCCATGCGTCGACGTTGCCAGGCTTGCTTTCAGGCAAACGGTGGACATACGAGGTATTAACTTTGTGAACTCAGAATTGACCCCTGCTGTGTTTACGTCACTCCTGAGCGGAACTTATTGATTCAATAACGTGGAAAATGGAATGCAACTGTTAATAAATAACAAATAAATTGTCCCTGAAAACCTTGTTGTTCTACGTCATACACATTTATTTTGATAACACAGTTTAGGCATGCACAGTTTCTTTTTTCCGCTAGTATATTTCGGTATAAGAAAAGTCGTTATTTATTTTCAAACTATTTTGTTAATTAAAGAAACTCACAGCTATATGTATACTGTTTCGTCAGTTATAATCCGGAAACAGACCACTGTTTCATCCGTAGCGATAAACGCTCGACTCACCATGATCAAAATTCAATCAACCATCGTGACAAGTGCTCAATTCACCATAACTGTAAAATAGATATAGCTCCTATATATCATGCCGTGTTCATCTCACAGACACATTTATATGGCGGGAATCGTCAGCCAAGGCCAATTGAAGACGGAACTTATTTACCATATTTAGTAAGTATCCTGTAACAGACACGGTTGTCACGGTAACGCCGTAATAAGTAATGTCTCTGTTACATACACCAGAGAGGACGTGGAGAGTGACAAGTATTTAATTAGGGAAGTAACAGGTTGTATCAATCGCTCCATTGTCACAGTGTGAATGGCATTCTACAGTTGTACCTCAAGCCCTGCATTCCTGGCGCACCGTGGAATTAATCTGCTATATAGTGGCATCCTTTGTTTTCATTTTTCATGTTTTTTTTCTCAAATTTCATTATCAATTTTGTGTGAAGCATGTTTCTGTTCATGCACTGTACCTTACCGTCACGTAAACAATTCCTAACCTTAGTTCTACTCATATTTTATACGGCTTCTTGTTACATCATTTTGGCAATGAACCTTTTCATTACACGTAAATACAACACCTCTCTTATCTAGAACCTGGCACATATCATTCGGAATGACCAGGATTATAAACTCAAAGTACGTCCGCATGTCAACGAGTGCTTTTCCCGGCTCATTCCTTACCCTGGTTTTCGTTTACGGTCTTGTAGTAGTATTTTAGGCCGTTTGGCACAATAGAAACAATGCAATACCGAATTATGACGTTTTGTCGGTGTCTTGAAATACTGAGAACTATATTTATACGTATTAATTCCGGTTACACACTACGACACAACCCGATCTATGGTCATCGTTGACTATTATGGTCAGGGACATTTGCATCAGTATGCTTGTTTGAAACAGCAAACAAGTATTATAAGCAGCCAATGTTGTCGTGCTTCTGACGGGTGTTGTTAACACCTGATTGTGCTAAGGTGAACCACGATGAGTAGAGCTCGGGAGGACACAATCGTATGTGTATAACGACAGGTGTACGCTCTCATGCGTCGAATTTTTGTAGGTTGTTCTTTTTACACAAACATATCCTTTTGGTGGAAATATATATGCTTTGATTATTATAGGACTTATAGAAGATAATTCATGCGATGTTCGGTCTTTCCAGAAATTTAACTGTCATAGCCGGAGGGGTTATATAGTTAATCAAATGTCATGCTCACACTGTATTTTATTAATGAATTTTACGTTCGAAAATAGAGTATATAAGATATCCACTACATCATACTATATCCGAGACTTCAGCTGGCCAGGGTTATATTAAGCATGTTTATGGTCCTTCAATGTCCCCTCCCCCTTTCGTTCATAGAGCGCGAGTCGTGCTATAAAAGTTATCGGGAACATTTTAACAGTTATTGCTAGCCTGAAATCTCTGTCATCAGCAACATCACAGATATTTGTGAAATGCCTGTTAAAACCATTTTAAATATGGATGGATATTGTCACTGGAAGTGTGTGAATCACGTGTCAGCATCGCCATCACAAGACCACGAGTCTCTGTAGTGGTCGCCGTTTTAGCACGTCCTCGAGAGCGCGTGTTTAATGAAATAAATATGGCCTCCGACCGGAGAAGTTCAAAGTTAATTTTACTTAACGTCCGCTTTTCGCCCCGTTTGTACGTCGAGAATAAGCAGCTTTACGGTCTGTTCATTGCGGTGATATTATGCCATTAAGTTCTGCACCAAATATAAAATGTCGATATGGTGGTTTTTTCGAGACTTGCCGTTAACGTGTCCTTCCGTAAAACACGGTGCTGTTATCTAATTTATTAGTAACTTGCATGTTACCAATTTTACCTTGTCATAAAAAGATCGATCTGTTTAGGAATCATTCAAAACCATCCTGCTTATCAATTATTCCATGACAACCAAACGCTCTTCCTCTTCCCGTGGCGACAGTGCTATGTGGACATTAGTACAAACGTAGTAATGATCTCTCCCCTATCTATAATGAAACGTCGTTGTGATTTCGTAAGCTTGTTCTGTAAGCCGTCGACCGCCATCATGCTACAATGTATATTGTGGTAACAGAGGGTTTCAAACGTTAGAATCAACATAGCTCCATAAAAGCTCCATACGCCATTAAAGTCAGAGTCGATCCCCTGTGACCAGTAACGGTATCTTTATGAAGTATACTCATATGATCAGGTCTTACAAGAATGAACGCTTGCCACTGTAAAATATAAGTACTGTGAACAAAAACGCATCTCATTCTGTGGCTGAGATTCAATGATATCTCTGTTACTCTAGTTTTATTTCACAGTAAAAACTCTTCAGAGATTTGCGCCGAAATTAATTATCAATTAATTGTCCCCTATGAAGGAGGCAATGTATGTTTCCCGAGTTCAATTATTAAAAAACACAAATGTTCCCCTGACGATATAAAACGCGTTTGGGATTGCTTTGTGTGGGATTGTAACTATTTCTATTCTGCTTTCCTCAATGTCATATGACTAGAGTTAAGACGACGACATTGAGTCCTGATTGACGGTATAGAACGAAATTTAACTTAATAAAACGGACGTAACTTTTGAAATGCCTTTTTCCTGACAGTCCAGTTCTGATCGCTTGTCCTCCCCGGCCTTGACTCCAGGGATTGTCTCCTGTTCCTGATGTTCTTTGAGTATGTTTGTTTCCGAACAATCGTTTATTTTTATTAAGTTTCAGTGATGAACTAGATTACTGTGAATATTTAAGAAATACAAACAATAACGTCGCTATCTATACGGAGAATGACAGCTAAATTATTATAAAGATAGATACGTTGATATACTTCAGAATGGTGTATCAAACCAATTCAATATATATATTATATATATATATATATATATATAGTAAAAAGGGATTAAATGTCCTTGTGAAGGAAGTAAATAAAAAAAAAATAAGATTAACGACCGACTAAAAAACTAGCTGCTTTCACCCTTCACATGGCTCTTCAGGTTTGAAGAGCCCTGTGAAGGGTGAAAGCAGCTAGTTTTTTAGTCGGTCGTTAATCTTATTTTTTCTATATATATATATATATATGTAGTCTTTGTCGTTTGGCGAACAGAACTGGCATTGGTTGTACTATCACTGCATTGGTGTCAGTACTGTTTTGATGGTATTCCTTCTTAGTGTCGGCTGTAGTATAAATAGCTCGCTAGACTCCGCACAATCATTCCATTAAAAAGTTAAGCAAGATGTGCATCAACTGTCTAGTATCCGCCATTTTATGGCTGGTCACTGGGGATCGAACCCCCATCTCCAATCACACAGATTTGCTCGTGTCTGTACCACGTGACACTAATATGTGACGTCGCAGCCGCGCGTGCCCTACCTTCTAGTGAGCACACAATACACGCCGCGCCACCACTGTATCACCCGTGTTTCTCGTTATATCAAATCACTCCCAATCTAAAATGGTCTTTTGTATCAAAGTACACATTGTGTGGCGTACGACGACCAGCTGCTTTCTGTTGTTATGTGTAAAGACAACAAGACTATAACAATGCATTGATTTTTTATGTAATTTTTATTGCTTTATAGTGTTCCATTTCAAAACACAAGATCATCGTTTCCATGTGAAATGAGAAATGCATATTGTATTTATATGTAGCAATGAGCATGTTTTGAATACACAAATCACTTTTAAATGAACAAAATAATATACATGAATTCTTTCTACTAATATTGTATTTTTATGGCGTTGTTTTATTTTGTAGATAAAAAAGAAAAAGTGAAAAGCACACCGGGTAAGTAAAAGCTATTGATTTTGTAGATTTTGTTAAGTACCATTGAGGAAGAGAGTAAAAGGTTGGTTTTATTTATGAGTGAAATCGTATCCACTGACCCACATAGTCGCTATTACTCTTTGAGACAGACGATTTATTGGCGGGCGTTGATAGATTTGTGCTAAAATGTCCAGTCTACCATACTCATGGCTCTGTTACCGTTCCCAACACAAGAATACTGCTAATTTACAAACACACGGATTGTTGCTACCGTAAACGCAGCACATGTACGACAATGTAAATATACGATGTACATATAATTTGTTCCAACATAAGTGTGTAGCATACCAGTTCATCTTATAGCTCCTAAATACCGAACAGCATTTGGTTTCCCGAATCAACTCCAAACCTTTTGCCACATTTGGATATAACCGCTTCGAAAACTCTGTAGTCACGTATTAACTTTAAACGACATTAAATCCAGCTCTGTGTTCACGAGAATATTGAAATATGTGTAGTGATAGACGGCTGGTGTCGGCGTGTGTAGTGAACCTCACTTAGACTTAGAAATACCTCACTTAGACTTAGAAATAGACGGCTGGTGTCGGCGTGTGTAGTGAATCTCGCTTAGACTTAGAAATAGGCGGCTGCTGTCGGTGTGTGCATATGTATGTCACTTAAGCCACACGTGTCAATACACTCCATTCTTTACAATTAGCAAATAACATATTCCTGATTACTTGTAATATATTTAAACGGAGCCAATTTAATACAAGCACACAAGTACATTTTATATTCAGTTTCCACGTCATTCGTTAAGATATCAAGCCGAAATAAAATAGTTAAATGCAGACTTACGGCACGCTCGCGTGCATTTTGGACTCATTTACAGTTCTATCCGCTGTAAATTAAATTTAAAACGTTTCCTTCATTTAGTCTTGTCTAATGAATTCTAGCTAACGAAATAACATCAGGCCGTGTCGTTCTATCGAATTCAATAATGGCAGTTTTTGCATTATTGTTTTACCTTAACGAGAAACTCTGCGTAACGATAGGCCGGTAAAATTCGGTAATGGCGCACACCGCGAAAGGATAGGATTATACTGTTCTAGTGTCACCCAAGTACACTTACGGCCGAAGAGTGATCCGACACAACCAGCTGTAGCTGTACAACACAGTAACGAACTTTGACTTCATTATTTCAACAGTTGAACTTATTTACAACAAAATCAGGGAAGAAAATGTTTAGATGATTAATAATTATAAACAGAGTAAGAATATAAGTTCTCGTAGCAGATAGAGTTTCACAAATAAATGTTATTATTCTCGCAGCAAACTGAGGCTTCAACGATGGATGTCCTCACGGCATATTGATATAACGCCGATGTTCTGATGTATAATCTCAAGTCAGATTAAGATTGTACTGTTGTTCATTCTGAAGGCAAATAGAGGTTGAAGGCAGGTTGATGTTTCAACAATGAACCGTTGTTCATTCTGAAGGCAAATTGACGTTTCAACAATGTACCGATGTATGTTATGAAGGCAGGTTAAGGTTTCGCCAATGTACCGTTCTATGTTTTTAAGGCAAATGGAGGTTTCACCAATGTGCCGATATATGTTTTGAAGGCAAGTAGAGGTTTCACCAATGTACCGATCTATGTTTTGAAGGCAAGTGGAGGTTTCACCAATGTACCGATCTATGTTTTGAAGGCAAATGGAGGTTTCACCAATGTGCCTATGTTTTGAAGGCAGGTTTAGGTTTTAACAATGAACCGATGTATGTTATGAAGGCAGGATGGGGTTTCACCAGTGTACCGATCTATGTTTTGAAGGCAAGTGGAGGTTTCACTAATATACCGATCTATGTTTTCAAGGCAAATGGAGGTTTCACCAATGTGCCGATCTATGTTTTGAAGGCAGGTTGAGGTTTCACCAATTTACCGATCTATGTTCTGAAGGCAAGTGCATGTTCCAACAATGTACTTATGTATATTCTGAAGGCAGATTGGGGTTTTATATTTCACAATTATATTATGCAAATGACTTATGTTTAACAAGGACATTATGATTACTAGTTGGGTATTAGTAATTAAGATTATAGAATTGATGTCTTAAAGTATGTTTTTCTTTCCCATTGTGCATATTACTTCAAATAATGTATAAGTTCAGTCCATATTAGCAAAAATAGCAGATTTATCATGTGACCAATTAATATTTCATCGATTTATTAATCATACAAGTATTATGATCCACTAATAGTTTTCACACTACTTGAGAAAATACTTATTTCCTAGTATGTTCCCATGGTCTATTAATTTGTTATGGGTACTGGCCCATGCTGATGGGAGAGTCAGGATTTGGTTTGGGTTTTCAGTTGACCTTTCAAAACTGTTCCGGTATATATATATGAAATCTATTAAATACTCTAGTCCTTTTGTATAACTACATATGATTTTGTCATATAAAATTATGCCAATCGTTTTATGGGAACCCAAACTAGGTCCGGACTCCCATAAAAAAAATTTATGTCTAAAGTAGTCTTTCTTACCCATTATTCATAAAACTTCAAATACTGTAGCCTATTTTAGTCCAGTCCACAGACTAACTGTTCAGTGATGTACTAATGAAGTATTTGGTCACAGAGATGTAGAACGAAGAATAGCAATGTATTCAGTTTGGGTTTGGACATTCGGAATGACATGTTTTGTTATTATTTTGGGGGTAGGGGAAGTTGGGGAGGNAAAAGTTCATATGTATATAATGTTTTGTCTAGTTTATACATGCATATTCATTTCCTTTTTAATCAATAAAGCAATTATATTTTCTTGTCCACTTCCGAAAACAAAAATCATTGTAAAGTTATTTTTCATTATAAATTCAGTGTTTTCAGATATATGGTCTGTCTAAAAGTAGGGAGTGCTAATTGTAGGAGATTGTCCACTGACCCGATAAAAAGAAGGGACATTTTTGACAGATGTAGAAAACTTTATGATATTACTCATTCAGATAAGAAGACTGAACGCATTTTGAAAATGGAATGGGGGTATGAAGCGTGGTTCAACTCCTTTCAGTCTAATAGTAGGGGTGTTGCAATTTTATTTAAAAATACTTTTATGTATAGATATAAATCTACGAAGCATGACTTAAAAGGAAAATTTCTTATCTTTAATATAAAATTAAATTCCTGTGATAATTATATAACATTATTAGCTGTCTATGGTCCCAATGGAACTAGTGTTCTTTTCTATCAGCAATTAGTTAGACAACTGGAACTCTGCGGAAATAATTCTATTATTGTAGGTGGTGATTGGAATGTTCCACAATATTACAGGTTAGACACACAAAAAAAATATGTGAATAACAACAATATTACCAATCGGTAAAATATTAGAGCTTATGGAAAAATTGACTTAATAGATATTTGGAGGATACAACCCAGATAATTTACTGTTTATTTTACATGGTACTAATAGAAAACAAGCAAAGCTAGATTATTTTTTGGTGTCATCTGATCTTTTATCTTACGTTGATAGATGCGATATAGGTTTAAGTTATAAATCGTACCATTCCCCTGTTTTATTATCTCTAGATTTAATTTATCAGAAAGGGAACATAGCCTTCTGAATGACGCAGTGGTTGTAGATATTGTGAAAGAATGTGTTTCTGATGTAATAAATCAATATTCAGTTAGTGACATGCCAAATATATTTACTAGTGATGACAAGTTAGTATGGGATACATTGAAACTGATGATTCGGGGCAAAACTATTGCCTACTCCACTTTCAAAAAACGCGAACAAAATAAGTTAGAAAATGAACAAGAGACAGAATAAGAAGAATTACAAAAAGCAGAAAATAGGAAAAAATGAGAGAATTACTGAACTAGAAAACGAATTAAAAATGACGAACAAAATCCAGATGGAAAATAGAGGGTAAAAAAATACTATGTATTTTTGTAATTTAGAAAAACGCCACTACCAAGAAAAGCTCATCCCCAAATTAATATATGACAACGGTAATGATATAAGTAATAAAGCTGATATATTAAAAGAACAAAAGAATTTTTATCAAAGATTGTATACAAAATCTAATAATGATATTACTCAGCGTCAGTTTTTGGATAAAAATAATCCCCTTATCAACAAACTTTCTATGGAAGAAAGGAATAATTTAGAAGGTGAAATACAGTATCAATAATGTCTTAATTGATTAAAAAATATGAAAAAATTTAAGTCACCGGGAATAGACGGGTTTACTATTGAATTTTATAATTTGTTCTGGGTTGACATATAGTCCTTTCTCATTCGTTCTATAAATCAATCTTATAACGAAGGACAATGATCATGTTCGCAACGACAGGGTATGATTACCTGCATTCCTAAAGAGGGGAAATCTAAATTTTATATAAAAAAATTGGAGACCTATTACGTTATTAAATGTAGACTACAAAATAGCTTCTGCTGTAATTTCAAGTAGATTAAAAAAAGTTTTAGATATTCTTATAAGCGAAACGCAAAAAGGGTTTATTAAGGGAAGGTACATAGTTGAATGCACTAGATTATTAGGTGACTTATTGGATTGTACTGAAAAAGAAAATATTCTGGGTTTGCTTTTACTAATAGACTTTGAGAAAGCTTTTGATTCTTTAGAAACAAATGTTATATTCGAAACACTACGATTCTATTAATTTGGTCCATCAATTATTAAGTGGATTGAAACATTTTATTATAACAATACCTGTTGCGTTGCAAATAATGGACATTGTTCAGAATTTTTTGAAATTCAACGGGGTGTCAGACAAGGAGATCCCATTAGTCCTTATATCTTTATTTTATGTGTTGAATTGCTGCAGCAATTAAATATAACCCTGACATAACTTGTATAGATAAAAGTAATTCTGAGTTGTAAGTAAATCAATTTGCAGACGATACATTATTCACTCGCTCAGATGATCCTAACGTATTGGAAACAGTTTTAGTTTCTTTAGAAGATTTTGCAGTAGTTTTCGGTCTTAAAATAAA